CTCACTGCTTCCCCCTCACCAAGCCCAGGCCCTGGGGCACTTCCAACAGTGGCCAGCATGTGGCCTCCGGACAATTCCTGTCCTAGCCTCTGGCCATGGCCACACCAGCCTTGCCCTCTGCAGGGGCTAGCCTCTGGCCTGAGTCACCCCATCCCGGCTCTGCCTCTGCAGGGGCCGCGGCCTTCTCAGGAGCTGTGACCTACAGCATCTCCACGGCGCTGCTGGCCTTTGAGATGACTGGCCAGATCGTGCATGCACTGCCCGTGCTGATGGCGGTGCTGGCGGCCAACGCCATTGCCCAGAGCTGCCAGCCGTCCTTCTACGATGGAACCATCATTGTCAAGAAGCTGCCGTACCTTCCATGGATCCGGAGCCGAAACATCAAGTGAGCAGCACCCGCCTCAGGCTGGCTGAGGGGGGTGATGGTGTCTGAGTGGGCTGGGCGGGGAGGCCTCCCCCCAGAAACCCCACTGTGCTGACTTTGGACGTGAGTGGTTGGGAGGGGACACAGTTGCCCTCTTGTCTTCACTCTCCCTATTTTCCTGCATGACCTTGGGCGAGTCCTTGGCCTCCTGGGCCTCAGTGTCATCCCACCCGGGATCCAAACCGTCTTGGGGGGTCTAGGAGTTGCTCGTTCCAGGAGTCTCTCTGGCCACACTGGAGAGCCAGCAGAGCTCCCCCACACGCCCCCGCCTCGTCCTGGGGTCTGGCTGTCCCCCTCCTCCAGGACCTGACGGGGACGTCTGTCTGCCTCCAGCTCTCACGGTGTGACTGCGGAGCACTTCATGAACTGCACCATCACCACGCTGGCCAAGGACACACCACTGGAGGAGGTGGTCAAGGTCGTGACCTCCACAGACACGGCCGAGTACCCCCTGGTGGAGAGCACAGGTGCCCGGTGGGAAGTGGGGGCATGAATGGGGGGCCATTCCTTCTGCCTTCCTCTTGGACCCTGGAGGGTCAGGCCAGGAAAGGGTAAGCAGGACATTGGACCTGTCAGGTAACTGAATCTGAGTCCAGACTCCTCAACTGTGTGACCTTGGGCAAGTCGCTTCGCCTCTCTGAGCCCCAGTTTCCTCATTGGTAGAATGGAGATAATAGCCAGCCTGCCTTGGGGTGGCTGACATGTTCAGGTGAGACATGAGAGGATGCTTGTAAGGCTCTCTGTGAACAGCTCTTGGAATTCTAGAAACCAGGCCTGTGTGCTTGGGCAGTGGGGGTAGGATGGTGGGAATACTCCTGGAGTCTCCCACCAGGCTCCTTCCCTCAGCCTCCCCTTCAGGAGTTCCCCCGCTGAGTTCCCTGTCCTAGTCCCCGTTGCCATAAGAAAAACATGTGTTTAGAGAAAAACGAATGGGCGCCCTTATTAAAAGACACATAAGCTTGGGGGAAGATTTAGTTAAGCACCTTTCCCACTGGGACAAATACAGTATGAGTGGGAAAGATAAGTTGAGGGGGGGACAGCCATGTCCACTCATGGCCACTGTCAGCCATATGTCCCCTTTGTGCAAATGAGACAAGGTGCACACTTGGTAAGCATAGCACAGCTGGATTTTGGTCCTCACTTGTCCTTTGGGCAGGTACCTTGTGCAGTGAGCAACCTGCACAACTGTATGGGTTACCCCCATACCCACTCCAAGAGGCATAAAGCCACTGACGAGCAGCAGAAACATGGGTAAACCCCTTAAGCTCTACGAACTGCAGTTTCCTCATCTGGAAAATAGGGATTAATACAGTGTGGAGTTGTCAGAGGTTCTTATCCCAAACGCCAGGCACTTCTCCCCACCCAAATTGGGACACCTTTAACTTTATCCCACAGAACATGCCACATATCCCATTTGAAAATATTTGCATATGGAGGACCCCTCTGAGAGGCTTCACCTCCTGGAACAAAGACAGAATTGGCCTCAGGGACAAAGGCCGCTTTTACCCCTTCTGCCACAGGAAGGAAAGAGCGCCCAGCTGCAAGACCCTGTTTCTTCCCCAAGAAATAGCTTTAATTTTTTTAAAGGGGAGCATTTACAGGTCTAGTTGTAAAGTTTTAATTTTACTGAATGAGAAGTAGAAATCCTAGGCTTTCCCCTCAAAACCAAACGCCTGTAAACTCCAGTGACACCCTGGAGCGAGGCTTGCCAAGCCCCCAGCTCACAGTAGGACCCCAGAACATGGTGCCTCCCAGGTTCACGCCTCCACTGGGATGAAACTTCCTGTGGGAAATGAGGACAAGCCCAGTTCTGACACACAGATGTCTTCATACAGGTGTCACACACCTGCTCCTGCCTTGAGGCCCTGCCACCTGGGGAACCTCAGGCTGGGCAGCTTCTCTCCCGGCCCCCTGGCAGCCTTACCCAGCTGCCCTCAGCTACCACACCTCCATGTCAGAAGCTGAGTGACATTGGGCAAGACAATCAACCTCTCTGTGTCTCTGAGCCTCAGTTTCCTCTTCTGTAATATGAGTGATAATAGTTCCTGACCCATAGGCTGCTCTAGGTTCCTGGGAGATGTAAGGACACCTAGCATAGTTCTTGGCACATAGTCGGTGCCCAGAAATGCCAGTTCTTTCTTCATAATGAGCCTCTCCCTCTCCACTTGCCCAGAGTCTCAGATCCTGGTGGGCATCGTGCAAAAGGCCCACCTGGTGCAGGCCCTCCAGGCTGATCCACCTTCCTGGGCTCCAGGACAACAGGTGGGTCCTCGTAGCAGAAGGAGGTCGGGAGTCAGCAGGGTTGTGAGGGGAGGGGTGGCCTGGGGAAGGGGGAGGCTGGACCAGGCCCCATAACCCTTCCCCCATCCCCAGCTGTGTCTCCAGAGCATCTTAGCTGCGGGCTGCCCCGTAGAGCCAGTGACCCTGAAGCTGTCCCCGGAGACGTCCCTGCACCAGGTAATGGGGAGAACTTGGGCATGCGGGCAGACAAGGACGCTGGGACGCGGGGCAGGAGCGCGAGAGGAAACTTAGGCTCCATCTTCCTGACACGCTGTGCGGTCCTTCCTCCTGGGCCTGCTTCCTCTGTGCAGAATGGGCATAGCCATTCCTGCCCTCTCCGAACCTCACTCCCAGGGTTGTTGGGATGATGCCGGGACTACGGAAGTGGGAGGGAGACAGGAGCCTCTGGGTGGAGAGAGACAATGGTTCAAGTATGTCTTTGCTTCAAGGCACGCGTGGGTTTCAATTTTAGGTCCACCACATTCTCCCCATGGGATCTTGGCAAATTATTTAATCACTCTGCGTGCTGATACCTCCCCCACCCCTGCAAGCACAGAGCTGGAGCATGGGGTCGGAGAGGGGCAGAAGCAGGCTGGGGACCCGGGGGTGGTCCCAACCTCCTGTACCACCGGACGATGCTGGATGAACCTTTCGCGGTTCCAAAGGAACCAGCCCCTTGCATGGACTCTGAGGACCCCTAGTGGTCACATTGGACATTGCAGGCCCAGGTCCCGGTCTTGGACGCACCATCGGGTCCCGCCCCCCCTTCCCCGTTTCCAGACGTGGGGGCTCTGGCTCCCCTGGGACAGAGCCCTGGCCAGGACCTCCACCTCTGTTCAAAGCCCCCAGGGTAGGGAGAAATCGAAGTGATGGGCGGGTGGGCACCACCTGTCCTCCAGCTTTTGCTAACAACCCTCCAGGCACACCACCTCTTCGAGCTGCTGGACCTTCATTCCCTCTTTGTGACGTCGCAGGGCAGAGCTGTGGGCTCCGTGTCTTGGGTCGAGGTACCAGGGTCCCCAGGGTGGAGCACAGTAGAGGAGCCACGCTCCAGTAGAGGGGGGAGGAGGCACCCATATCCTCCCACCCAAATTTGGAGGGGCCTCATGGGGTTCTGACGAGCCCCGCTTCCTGGCCCAGAGTGGCCACCGGGCCTGGCTACCCCTACCTTCTTCTGTGGCGAGCGGCCAGCCCTGCCACTCTCTGGGCCTCAAGGGCCCCAGCTGTGCAAGGGGGAGGCACCAGCCCTAACATTCACCTCCGAATTTACCCTGGGGGAATCCGACAAGATTGGAGCGCCCCCCCCCCCCCCCCACGGCAACCTCCTCCACAGCCTCCCTCCAAAAAAACCCTCTTTCTCTGTTCTAGTTGGAGAAAGTGATTTCCAGTCTGACAAACCCGCCGGCCCCAAAGTGAGCCAGCCTGGCAAGATGCAGCAGGGCACCTCGGCTGTCCTGGGGAAGGAGGCTGGGCAGAGACCTCCCTCGCTTCCCCCATCACAACACACCGCTCCCCTCCAGCCCAGCTCAACCCCTCGGCGGCAGGCAGCTCGAACCCAGCAATGAAGAGGAGCCCATATCCCCATGTCCCATCTGGGGTGGGACAAGTGCCATATGCCTTGAAGGACAGATCCCGCCCTGGACAGAGCTCCGAATGCGAGACAGCAGATAAACTCAATGAAAGTTTGTCACATTCACCAGTGAAGAGATTGGTGTATGCTGTCACCAAGGGCAGGCACAGATGCCCTCTGGGGTTGTCTGACTCCCAACCAGAGGGAGGAAATTTTTCCTGAGATAAATAAAGCCGATCCCCAGAGCCTCAGTTCGTGCCTCATCTCTCCTTCAAGGGCGTTGACTTGGCACCTCAGCTCCTGGCCTGCACTGGCCCTGAGTGAGCTCTCGGGCCCTGCTGGTCACGTGGGCACTGCAGGCCTAGGTCCCTGGTCTCCCACTCCTCCTCATGGCCCCTTCCTGGCGGGGAGACACGAGGAGAGCCGGGTCCCCACCGGGGCTTGTGATATTTGCCCTCCTGTGTAAGCAGGACCCGTTATTTTTGCCCCAGCCCCAGCCTCCTCCTTGGCTGCTCCACGGCTGACAAAGCAGGGTCTCCAGGTGTGGCTCTTGGGGAGTCCAGAGAGCCTTGGGCATCCTCCCTGGGGACTCCCCTGCTGGGTGGCAGCAGGTTTACCAGCTGTATGTGTGTTGGGGGGTAGGAGCCCTCCCCTAGGTCCCTCTAGACCCTGCCCCCCAGGGGCCCTGAGGATATGCCTTCCCCAGCAGAGACCAGGCCAAGTTCCTCCAGGGTGAATCCACCACTTTAATGTCTTCAGAGAACCTTGAAGGAGGTGGGAGGAGGGTGCAAGGAGGCAGGGGCGCCAGGGTGCAGAGAGTGAGGGACGGACAGACACGCCAAGGAGACAGGTGTCCTCGTGACGACAGCTGAGGAGGCTACCCCACTGCCGATGGGGGCAGAAGCACAGACGGAGAGGAGGAGGGACTGAGCCCCGGGTCAAGGCAGGGTCCCCAGGCCCCGCTCCAAGTGGGTCTCCCCAGCCCTCACGTGGTTGTCTGTCCGGGGCCTGGCTGTCAGCTCCCCTGGGCAGCTTGCCCCGGCGTCTGCTGAGAGTCCTTGCACTCCCTGATGGCAGAAACCCCGCAGGGAAGGTGCCCCCTGAGCCACGTAAAGAAGGGAGGAGGGGGGTTATGGCTCCCACGGCTGGGGGCCGGTCCATGGAGGCACAGAGTGGTCCACAGGGAGTGCTGGCCCCCAACCCCTGCTGCACCCGCCCCATGCCTGCCCTGAGGGGTCGAGCTGCCCCGCCCAGACCCTGGCGTCCTGATAAGCCTGGGCCGCCCACCAGGCAGGGTCACGGTGGGAGCGGGCTCCGGGCAGCACGGCCCCCAGCTCAGTTATAGAACACTTCATCCTCCTCCTCCGAGAGCGAGCCGCTGTCCACCGAGGGGAGGGAGCCCTGCAGGTGGGCACTGCCCTCAGGCCCTGGACCCCCCGGCAGCCGCCGTCGATGCTGCTGTTCCGGGCTGGGGGGCTGGGGGGCAGCAGTGGTGATGGGGGGCTCCTCGGGTGAGGGCCCGTCGTCGGGGGAGAGGCCAGGGGAGGAGAAGGCCAGAAGACTGTCATCCTGCGAGGCGCCACTCAAAAGACTGTCCTGAAGATAGATGCTCTCCAGGTCTGGAAAACCAACGTGGGGTGGGGTGAGGAATGCAGTCCCAGAGCCCACTCCCGCCCTGTCCTGCTGTGCGAGGGAGGGCAAGGGGCAGACCGGCCTCCAAACCCTGCTCTGTCACTGCAGAGCCCTGTGACCTTGGGCAAGTCACTGAACCTCCCTGAGCCCCAGTTTCTCCTTGGGGGTTACAGGAGTGGTGGCAGCAATGAGCGGAGCAGTTGCAAGCAGGCTCTGTGTGGAATCCTTCTGCTCTCTGAGACACGGACAGCCAGCGCTCTCCGGGGCCTTGTTCCCTTCCTTCCGCTCAGGTCAGAAGGACGATTACCTGAGATAACGGGTGTGCAGGTTGCACCCAGGACCCAGGTTCACTGAGGCCCTCAGCAGTACCCCGGGGTTCTAGAAAGGTGGTTGGTTGTGCTTGGTGTTGAGGTTCAGATCCTGGGTCTGATGCCTCTAGCTGCATAATCTGGGGCAAGTTTCTTGGTGCCTCAGTTTCCTTTATTTGTAAAATAGAAGATAATGGCAGGGCCTGCCTCCTGGAGCTGTCATGAGGATTAAGTGAGCTAACACACGTAAAGCACTTTGCAGAGGAAGCACTTAATTCACGATGTCGTTATTACTATTATTATTATTCTCTCCTTTATGCTCATGGCACTCCATGGGTGATGGGCAACCAAGGACCAGCCGCTCCATTTCACAGATGAGAGAACTAAGGCTGAGGGATGGAGGGGCTTGTCTGAGGTCACAGAGCTTTTGGTGGCAGGGCTGGTGTCCAGCCCAGCTCTGCTCCACCCACCCCATCCTGGCACCCCCCCCCAGGCTGTACCCTGTAGCTGGATGACGTCCTGGGGGCTGTTCTCGGGGTGCAGCTCCTCGTCATCCAGTGAGGACCAGGCGCTCAGTGTGGCCTCCGTGATGGCAAACTGCTCTGCGACCCCTGTGGGGACAGTGGGACCCGGCTCGGTGCGGGCACAGCAGAGGGTGGGGGCGGACTCAGTGCCAGGACAGGCTGGTACCGGGACACCTGAGGGTTAGCTGCCCCTTGGAGCTGTTCCTCCAGCCCCAGTGATCAGAGCGCCCCCGAATGCCCACATGCCATGTTTCTCCCTGCCCAGACACTGCCCATGTGGGGACCCTTGGTCCCCTAGGACCAGAGCCCCAGCCGGTCCCCAGCCCCGAGCTCCCCGTCTCCCGCTGACCTGCAGCAAAGCGGGCCTCGCGCAGCTCGTCCGGGAGGCAGCAGTACTGCTCGTCCTCGGCTGGGGACAGCTCCCAGCCGGACCGCTGGGCGCTCCAGCCCTTCCACTCGATGAGGTGGGCCACGCGGCCACGCGCCATGGCCGTGGGCTTTGTGATGTGGTCCTTGATGCTCTGCACCACCCCTGGGGGCATTGAGGGCAGTTGGGTGACTGCCCTGACACAAAGCCCAGCTCAGGGCTCACCCCCAATACCGCAGGCACCCCAGTACCTCAGGCCCATCCAGCGGCCTGTACCCCACATCCATTCAACAGTCTGTACACAGCCAGTGCCCAATGTCCTCAACCCCATACCCACAATGCCCTGTACCTACCCACTTCCTCGTGCCCAGCCAATGCCTTGTGCCCACCCCCGCCCCATGCCCTCCTCAAGCCCTAGGATCCCACCTCGCTTAGAAGCTCCCCACTCACTTGCAGGCCCACCTCCCAGTGTCCTGCTCCCAGTCAATGTTCCAAAGCGCCCACTTGGCGCTTCTTCCCCAGACCTGCCACACCCCTCATTCCCTTTCTGGCCAAGTTTAGACCGTTCTGCTCAAGGAGACCTGCTCAAGGATCTACTCCAAACATGCCCAACCTCTCCTTTTATGCATTAATTAACAACCTCTGAGAGAGCACTCCCTGTGCCTCAGCCAGTGCCAGCTCTGCTGAGCCTGAGACCTGAGTGCAGTGCCACAGGCAGGGAAGGCTTCCTGGAAGAGGTGGCCTGGAGTTGGGCTTTGAAGACAGGTTGGGCTGAACAGTTGGAGGCAAGACTGGAGGCTATTTCAGAGATGAGAAGAGGATGAGCGCATGGAAGGGTCTGGCACGATTCCAGGACTACTGAGGGTGAGACATGGGGCAAGACGAGGACTGGGGTGGCAGAAGAGGCTGGGGGGCCATCAGGGGCCAGACTGGGGGCTGAGAGCCAGGCTGAGGGCGCTGATGTCCTCTTTATAGCAACGGGGAGCCACAGCAGCGTAATGGGCAGAGGAGTGATGGGTTAGATCTGTTGTCTAGGAAGAGCATCCTAATTAGGGGATTAGGGGCCAAGGGTGGAGACAGGCTGGCATTAGGAGCCACTGAAGGGACCCAGCAAGAGACAGGACAAGGGCTGGGCAGGTGGGGGGAGGGCCTGGAGGGACTCTTAGGAGTAGACCCACTGGATATGGAAGTTGACAAAGAGAAGGTGTCAAGAATGGTTCAGCACCTCCTTTAACCAAGGCTGAGAACACAGATCTGGGAGTCACTGGCGTCCCTGAAGCCGTGACGTGAGATACAGCAATACTTAAGAAAGACGGGGCATCCACAAAAGAAACCAGAGACGTGACGCTCTAGGAAAATGGGGAAGGTGGAGGCGGGGGAGAAGCGCCCCCCAGGATGGGGAGTGTTGGCAGAGGTTTTTCGAGGAGGGGGTCAAGTGGCTCGTGGAGGGAAGGGGTTTGGGGTGGAAGAAACAGCACCGGTGGATGTGGGGAAGCCAGCAAGGGCCCTCTGGGGGAGTTGGGAGGGACTTAACGAAATTCCAGCCCGAGGGGCTGGACAAAGCTGTGAGCAGAGGCTGGTGGTCAGCACCTAGGGCAGATGCTATGGTGGCCTGCCGAGACCCCTTTATTGGCCTGTGTGCCCCCCCCCCCCAACCCGCCATGCTCCCTCTCCAGAGACCTGTCCTTAGCTGATGGGAGCCGCTTCACCTAGCGATGAGGCAGCTAGCCCGGGAGGTGGGAGGGACCTCCCCAGGGACAGCCAACAACTGACCATGGGGGAATAATATAAAGTCGGCCACCTGTCCTCAAAGGGCCATAAATTCTGTGGTGTGTTCATGCTGCAGAGCTCCCCGTGGGATGAGGCTGAGAAAGACGAGGCTTCTCCTGCAGCCCTGTCTTCGCTGAGCTCCTTCCTGCTCTGGCCTGCTGCCCTCACTCCGACAGGTTGCCCTTGAGAATAATCTCTCAATAAATCACTCGCACAATTCCCATCTCGGGGGCTCTGCTTTAGGGAACCCGAGCCAAGGGGTGTGCCCAGCAGATTTTATCTGCTGCAGAGAGGCGGGAGACCCCATGAGGCAGACTTCTGAACAATCGGGGCCATCCCCTCCAAGCTTCTGGAGAACCCAACAATTTAACCCACGGGGGCAGGAACCCTAAGTCGCTGCTCCCTGGAGAATCCAGCACAGAGCCTGGCATTCAGGAAATGCTGAATCCAAACAGGGCTGCAATCCTTCTAGAAGCAATTCAGCTTAGCCCTTCCCACAGCCAGTGTCTGGGGTGGACTGTGCACACTCCAAGGGCAGGAGAGGGCAGCGGGAGCCTACCCACAAGGGACGAGGTGGCCAGGGCTGCCACGTTGTAATTGCTGGAGCAAGATCTGGAGTCGGACAGGTAGCCGTTGGTGGTCTGGAAGCACCTCTGTAGGAAGGAGAGGAGGGGTGAGCAGGGCGGGGCAGACCTGTCAGGTGACATCCCCCCCATCGCCATTCTCCACCGTCCCCAGGTCCTCTGGGCAGTGGGGAGGGCCAGGGCGATCCTGCCAGCCTCCCACAGGATCATCCCCACCCCACAGTTTTTATCAGGCCCCCCTTCTCCAGGGCTGGCAGGACTGCATGCCCAGGCTGGGCTCAGCAGAGGGAGGGGCAGTAGTGTCAGCTGTGGCTGGCTGGAGTTGGGGATGGGCAACTGCACTGACCTGCCAAGGATCCCAACAGAAATCCATCTGTTTGTCCTAAAACAAGAGGAGAAAGAGGATCAGGCAGGGCCTGGCACACTGTCCTAGCAGATGGCACCAGTCCTGGAGCCGTGGGTGGTGGTGTGGGTCAGCTCTGATGCTCCCTGAGGTTGGGGTCTGCCTGCTTGGGTGGTACCCTGGTGCCCCCTGGCACGTAGAGAAAGAAGTGGGGCGGAGGTGGCAAAGGTGGCTCTGCCAGGAGAGGCAGTAGGTGCAGGAGACACATCAGACCTGGGTTCAACTTTTGACTTTACCATTTTTTCCTGGGTACCCTTAGAATAATGACAACATCTCAGAACATCAGTTTCTCCCTCTGTAAAATGGTGACAATGCCATTTACCTCATAGGTTGTGCTGAAGCATAAATGACATAACGTAGGTAAAGTGCCCAGCACAAGGCTTAGTGTGTGGGTATGCTCAGAAAATAAAAAGATAATTCTGTTAACTGGTAGGTTCAAGCCACAACCCCTGGGGCAAGGGTGGAAATTATGCACCAGGATTTGAGGCCCCTAGCAAGATCTTCCTAATCTATCTGGACCGAGAATTCCATTCCTTTTACCCTCCAGCAGGGTGCAGGCTGCTAAGAAGTCCTGGGCTGATAAGATAACTTATTATCTACAAGGCTGAGTTAATTTGGGCGGGAAGATCTTTAGGGTGGGACTCTTTTCTAAACAAGTCTGGTCCACTCCCTGGATGCCCAGCCCAATTCAGACCTTCATCCAGGTGAATACCAAACCTTAAGGGCCCTGATCCCACAGGAAGGAACCAAGGGCTGCAGGGCCAGCCCAGGAAGCAGGGCACAGTTGGGGCCAAAGGTGGGGGTGAGGCGTGACCAGCTACCTTGCCAGTGACGTGGTCTGGAGCAGTGGTGGGTGGGTGGCTGGAAGGCAAGTCTGGGTTCAGGGCATCCGTGCCCTGGGGCATGGGGCAGTCCTTGTGGGCACTTGTGAACAGATCTGCAAGTGAGAAAGATAGGAGGGACTCAGAAAAGCCCAGCTCTCCTGCTTATGAAGCTTGATCAAGCCAGCCCTCTGAGGCCAGCATTGCCTTATCGTCACCCATTGTCAACCTGTAGGAAACAGACTCAAGCCCACAGCAGGTGAGAAGTCCGGCCAGACCTCCTCTTGCCTGGTGCCCTCGGTGGGAATTCCCTGCGCATCTACTTGTACTCCATTTTCGCTCATTCTAGGACCCACACTCCAGCATTCTTTTGACCTCATGGCATGGAGACCTCCAATCCATTTATCCTGCTACTTCCTACTAGCTCCTCTTGTCCTCACTTCCCTCCTGGCCCAGCTAAGACTGCCTGGCATGTCCAAGGAGCTCTCCTTTGCAGAGGTCCTTAACCCTCCTAGCCCTCCGTCTGCTCTGTGCCTGGACCCCAGGAGCTGCATGTTGCTGGAGAGCCTCATGTTCAATCCTGCCCGCCAGCCTCACAGCCTCACACTGCCCAGGGACCCTTTTGTTCCTCCAATTCCTGCTAAGTTTTCTTCCCGCTAGGTTGACGACCTCACCTGTCTTTCCTTCCCAGACCTGCGGCACTGGCACCCCGCCTCCCCAGGCCCTGCTGCTGGCTTCTCCTCATCCCTCACTGAGATCCAGAAGCCTTCGGAAGGCATCGTCCCATTCTTTCCACCTCGGATCATCGCCCTGTCTGCATTTTTGTCCACTTCATCTGCTTTCCCTCCTGTGACAAGGGAAGAACCATTCCTGCTCCATCCAGGACCAGCCCCTCCTCCCAGGGCTCTGAGCTCTCCGGTGCCGTCGCTGTTTCCCTTCCCACCCAGTGGTCCCATCAGTGTGGCCGGCTGCCACGCCTCGTCTACTCAGGGCCTCTTGCCGGCATTCCCTCTCTCCTGCCTCACTGAGTGCCCTCTCCACTAGGTCAGCGCCTAGCCTCCAAGAAGCCCAAGAACCTGCCATCCTTCTCCCTGCTTCCCTCCAGCTCCTTCCCCATTCCTCTGCCCCCTTCATGGCCAGACTTAGAGTTGGGTCAACCTCTGCTTCCTCGTCTCCCCTTTCCTCCAGGCAGCCTTTCACAAGACAGCCCTGGCAAGAGGCTAGAAACCTCCGTGAGCCCAGGTGTGACTTCCCTAGCCTCACCTTCACTGGCCTCTCAGTGGCGCAGGGACTTCACCCCCCATCCCCCCAACATCCTCCTGGCTCCCCTCCCTCCTCACCGGCTGCTCTTCTCTGTCCTCCTTCCCTGCCCAAGCCCTAAGTGTGGGCCCCCCCCCCCTCCATCCTGGGCCCCTTCTCACCTCCCTTCTCTCTCTCCTGGGAGATCTCATCCTTACGGTATGCATGTGCAGCTGACACCCACATTTACACCTCCGGCCCTGCCTCTGCTGGAGCTCTGACTGCATTTCCAGCTCCCTGTGTGGATGCCCAACAGGCAGCTCAAGCAAACCCGGGGAACATGGAACTTGCAAACCTGGGTCCGTCTTCCTCCATTTCCTCAATTTTAGAAAATGATGCAGCTGTTCGTCCAGCTGTACCAACTTAAAAATCCAGGAGTTGCCTTGGAGTCCTGCCTTCCCCCCAGTGTCCCCCAAACCCATCTAGTCAACCAATAAGTCCTATTGTCCCTCTCTCCAACCTCCATTCCAGATTTATCCCTTTCTATCCCCACTGCTGGGCCCCTGATGGGAGCCACCACCCTCTGTCACTAGGATGGCAGGAGCCTCCCGCTTCCCTCCTGGCCCTGTGGTCACTCCCAGCCCCGCGGCACAGGGACATTACATTCCAGGTCACACTGCATCTTTGCTTAAAACCTGCCGCTGGCTTCCTTCCATCGCACTTCAGGAGAGGAGCCAGCCCCTCGCCACAGCCTTCAGGGCCCTACACGCCAGCTGGCTCACCCCGCCTGAGTCCTCCACCCCCAGCCCCCGCTCGCTGTCGCCCCCACTCTGGCATCTTTGCTGCTCCTCAAATGGCCAAGCTCGCTCTTTGTCCTTGCTGTCCCCTCTGCCTGGAATACTCTTTCCCCGGACCTTCCTGAACCTCATCATTCAGTTCTCAGCTCAAGGTCACGTCTTCAGAAAGGCCTTCCCTGGCCACCTGGTTCAATGTGGCCTTTCCTGTCCCCATGCCGGCCACCAGTCACTCCCCATCACAGTCATGACTCTGATATTTTTGTTTATTTAAATGTCCATTCCTCCCCCCCCACGATCCACGGAAGCACTGTGAGAACAGAGACACGGCAGCCCTGCTCGGTGCTCTGTCTCCAGAGTCTAGAACACTGCCTGGCACTTAGTAGGTGCTCTGTGGACACTTGTGGAAGGATATACCTTTATCACAGCATTTAACACAGCGTGTCTCTCTGGTAAAACTATTTATGTGCGGGGGGCAGGGATCGGCTGTCCCTGACGCACCCTCAGTGCCCCACACACAGTGGGTTTGCAGGAGCTGCTGAGGGAACGGATGAATTGAACTGAGCAACTGGCACCACTGGCCTGAAGTCCTGGGCTGAACTGAAGAGGACTCCTCCATCCCCACGGATAACTGGGGACGCCCTTCTCATTCATTTGATTAATGCATTTATTTCCTCGTTAATGCATTCAAAAGTCTGAGCTGCGCACCTGCTGTGAGTCAGGCACGGCTCTGAGGACACAGCGGCGAACAAGACACGATGGTCTCTCCCTCATGGAGCTGACATTCTAGTGGGGGAGACACTCTGAACCAGAGACTCGCAAACGCGTAAGATCCGTTCGATGACCATAACAGCTACAAGGAAAAAAGGGCGAGAGCGGGCTTGCGGGGGACTGGAGAGGGCTTCTCAGAGCTGAGGCCCGAGTATCACGAAAAGCCCAGTTGTGTGGAGATCTAGGGATGATCATTCATTCATTCATTCATTCTTTCCTCCCCCCACGCAGCAGCGCCGACGAGCAAGGAGCGCTCTTCTTTCGACACCCCCTTTCCTGGTGTGATGGCCCCAACTCCTCACAGTGACCTAGAGAGGAAGGGATCTCTGGCTCAGCTTTATAGATGAGGAAACTGAGGCACAGACGGGGAAGTCACCAGCCCAAGGCACACAGCCAGGAACCAGCAGTCAGGATCTGAGCCCTGTGGGTGTGAGACTTTTCCAAAGCTCAAAAGGAATCTGCGATGAGGTCTGGCGGGAGTCGGGGGCTGCATAGGAGAGCTGAGCGGCGAGCTAGCCCAGAACGGGGCCGGGAGGAAGGCATTCAAGGTCTGGCGGGAGTCGGGGGCTGCATAGGAGAGCTGAGCGGCGAGCTAGCCCAGAACGGGGCCGGGAGGAAGGCATTCAAGGTACGGGCACAGCTTGCCCAAAGCTGTGGAGTCTGGAAGGGAGCCACGAGGAGCAGGGGTGTCTGGGCCGTGGCAGGGAGGGGGGCCCTCTGCAGGACACGGTCCCAGCCTGAGCTTGTCCTGCCCTGGGTGCTGGCTTCCACCCCCTTTCTAGCTTGGGCCAACTCGGGTGGAGCAGGATGAGCTGATGGCTTGGAAGCAGGAGGGGCTTCCTGGAGGAAGCTGAAGCCAAGGGGGTCTGAGGGCTGGAGGTGGGAGGCGGCAGGCAAGCCCAGAGGCTGGGCTGGGTGCTCATGGGCCATGGAGAATGGGCTGAGTGGAGGCCAGGAGACTTGCGGGGGTGTTCACAGGGAGGCAAAGGGCTGGGCACTGGCGCATAGTGTGGGCGCTCCACCCAGCCCCTCGACCCCTTGTTCTCCCTTTCTGTGGGGTTTGTGCACCCACAGCCCTCCCGCTGTGCTCGCATCCCAAGGCAGCACCTGTGGCTCTTTCTAGTTGGGCAGCCGTGGGGCAACGGGAACTGAAAGTGAGAATTGACGCCGGCCCCACCCAAGTGGCCCTTAGCCAATGACTAGCAGGTGCAGGACCCCAGCTCCTTGTTCGGCATCAGAAAACTGAGCTTAACTTTCATTCCAGAGTCCACTGCGGGATCAGGCTGAGGCCACCCCCTGTAGGACGACACCTTTCCTGGGCTCCGGCCCTCTGTCCTCCTCTCCCTATTCCTTCTCTGGTTTCCTCTGGAAGATTTCCCTCACATCCCAGCTGTACCCAACTCCTCCCTTCAGCGTTTGCTCCTGAGGAGCTGCTCCAAAGACAACTGGGTGAGGCTCCGGGGCCAGATGACCCGGTTCGAACCCCAGCTCTGCCCCTTACTGCCCGTGGGACCTCAGCCTCTCCGAGCCTCCACTGTCCTCATCCATGGAATGGGCATTTGAGGGAGGCTGTTCTTCCTCAGGAAGTGACTGCTCGGATCCAGAACTGAGAACACAGAGGCACTGAGGCCCCATGTTTTGAAGAAAGCCACTGTCGGTGGGTGGAGCAGACGCCCTCCTCAAGGCGCTGAAGCAGCCTCTGCTGGCCCACCAGCAGCCACCCTTCTGACTCCGACTACTTATTTCTTCCCACAAGCGAAATGCGGGGCCTCCCAGCCCCAAGAGGCTGGAGGGTGGACCACATCTGGGGGAAAGGGAGATGGGCAGGGAATGGCAGAGGTCAAATCACATCAGTTTTCACTCCAGCCACACTGATCACTCTCCCGGCCATTCCTCAGATAAGCCCAGGACACTCCGGCCTCAGGGCCTTTGCACTGGCCGTTCCTTTCCTCCATCTGGAACTCTCTCCTCCCACATGGCCACAGGTTCACTCCCTCACTCCATCAAGGTTCTGCTCAAATGCTATCACCTCAGCGAGGCCTCCCCCGACCATCTTATCTAATCTGACACTGACCCTTTCTAACCTCTTAGGCTGTTCTACTCTTCTTCATGGCACCCATCCCTCCCCAGCAGGTGTGTCCGTTTCCTTGTTCATTGTTTCTCAGGAGAACAGGAGCTCTGGGAGGGCGGAGGCCTCGTCTGTTTTAGCCCCAACACCTGCCCCAGAGCCTGGCCCACAGAAGGTGCTGGTCAAATGTTTCCTGTAAGAATGAAGGAATGAATTGGACGCCTGCCACGCAGCAGCCTCGACAGTGAGCCAGTGTTAGCCAGCTGGGCTCCAGATAAATACAAATGGCTTGGCCACTTTTTCTCAAGTTCCTCATGCCAGATGCCAGCAAGTCAGAGGAGAAAGGGACCCAGAGAGGGGAGGGAGGCCAGCAGAGTAAGGAGCAGTCTGCGGCCCTGGGGTGCGGCCCGTCGCAGCTGGAGGAGAGAGGGGAGTGTTGGACAGAATGCGAGATGAAAGTTTTCATCCAAACTGGGCTGGACTTAGTATCTGGAAGAGACTAGAGAGTTCTGGGATCTGCCCAAAGGCCGTTAGGGGCGAGCAGGTCAGGGAGGTTTGAGGGGGACGGCCTGAAGCAGGGACGGGAGAAAAGGAAGGCAGAGCCAGGACTGATGCCCCGACACCCTGAATTCAGAGCTCAGTGACCCCGGAGCTGAGAGCAGCGAGGGCAGCATGGGATGGTGTGGGCTGAGCTGTGTGCTTGCACACCGTGTGCTTGCACACCGTGTGCTCAACTCATCCTGCTCTTTTCCTGAGTCCTGGCTGTGTGACCCTGAGCTAGTCCTGTCCCTCTCTGGGCTTCAGAGTCTCCATGTGTACAAAGGCCATGTTCCAGGCCCCTCAAAAGCGGCGTTCAAACTGGGAGTGCCTCCTTTAGTGGGTCATGCAAGCAACTTACTAGACCATATTTTTTAAAAATGAAATAGAATTGAATAGAAGAGAAAATATCAGAACCCAGTGCAGAGTCAGGTTAAGTATCGTTTCCTGAGGCTTCTGTTTAAATTGCATAGACGCACACGTGCGCACACGGAAGAATTTTCTGTGTGTGTATACTGGGTCATGATGGCAAATATATTTATTCTTATGGTCAAAAAAGTTTGAAAGTCACCACTCTTAAGGTCCCAGCCTGAACCAGCCAGGGCCCACCAAGGTGCAGACAGGTGGCACTGGCTACAGGCTGACCCTGCGGACTCTAAGGGCCGCTGGGATATTCCTAGGGCCCCTGGCCATCACCTGGGGCTGTTTCAAAACTTCCGCCGCAGACCGGGGAGTAGGGAGAATGGAGCACGGAGGGGGCCGGCAGGTGAGGTCAAGGCCCAGAGGAGACAGGACTCGAACAAGGTCACTGGTCGAGGCGGAGGTGGACCCGGGGGACTCCTGGCTCCCAGCCCCTCCCCAGCCTTCTCGTCCCCCACCTCAGCTGGGGTGCAGGCACCTCTACCAACACGGCCTTCTCCCCCTGAGGACACTGGCCCCGTGATGTCACAGGCCGGTTGCCATGGAGACGTCAGGTAATGAACCAGCCCAGGGTGAAAATCACAGGCTGCTCTTCGCCCAGCTGGGACTGGAGGCCACGTCACCACCGGCAACTGGAAAAACACAGCGTTCGTGTCAGGTGGGGGCTGGGGGACAGCCTGAGGGGACCCCAAGCCACTGCTCCTGTGGGCGCCTCCCTCTCCCAAGGGAGTTGGGGCGGGGGATGGTGGGGTGGGGGCGCCTCCTGCCTTTCTCAGTCCACACCCTACTCCCTTGACCTCAAGGTCTGAGGCCCCTCTCAGACCTGCTCCCTCCCCCACCTCCCCTGGCCACAGAAGTTACAGGCCTCTGGTTGCCATGGCAACCTGGAAGGGCCATCTTGATCCTTCCAGGAGAGGGGTCTCATCCAGATGTTTCCTCCATCCCTCTGCCTTCAACTGGAGCTTCTCCTCTGCTCACCAAGGACGCTTCCTGCCTTCCCATGCCAGCTCCTCATGCTGCTCTCGCGTCCAACCACACAGACAGTTCCCTCTGATGTCTAACCTAAACCCCTCTTGATGCAAAGCTCCCACACTGGTTTTCTCTGTTCCTTGGTGAGTCTGCAGCATAACCCCTCAGGCTCCTAGCCCCTTTAGCTGTTCTTTGGTGCTCCACGTCCCAGCGCGTTAGTCATCACGGTTGCCATCTCCCCTAGTATCTCCCAGGGCTCCAGCCCCCAGGAGGGCAGGGTGGGGCCCATGGTTAATCCTGCTCTTTCCAGCAGCCCAGAGAGGGTAAGCCTCCTCTGGAAACCACACAGTAACCGAGGAGCAGCCTGGGCTCAAAGCCCCTCGTGATGCCCCTCCCTGGACAGCCGCGTGCTCTCCATCTGAACCTCTCAGGACCCTGCAGCTGAGCGCATGAGGCGGTCCTCCAGCCAGCCACTCCCCAGGCGTGCACCGCCCAGCCTGATGTGCCAGCCTCTGGCCTCGGCTCTGAGGAGGACACAGTGGACAAGGCGTTCTTTCGCAGTCCCCGCCCTGGGTTTAAATCCTGGCTTCTCGCTGCCGGCTCCAGGGCTGTGGGCACGGCCCGTGAGCCTCAGGGTGTGCTCCTCTGGAGAGGGGTGCCGCGAGGTCGGAGCACCTGGTGCAGCCATTCCTTCACGGACAACAGCGGCTCCCTTCCTCGCCCCTCCCGACCTCACACCCTCCCTCTGGGCCACGGGCCAGATCTCAGTCAGCCCCTCGTCTGGTCCCGTCCCCAGGGCTGGAGCTTGCCCTGGGGGCTCTGCAGAAGGAGGCCATCGAGGGTGAGTCCTCGTGAGTCCCTGCCACGGCAGCAGGCCGTCCCTCTGAGCTTGGCAGAAGCCTGGCCTCAAGGGAACAGAGTGCCCTGCGCTCGCCAGGACATTTCTTTACAGGGCACCATCACCAGGGTCATGGTGGTGGCTTCATCAGCGAGTTGGTGCAGCTCAGAGCTGCCCCAGGGGATCCCTTTCCACCCAATCAAGGATGGAGGGGCAAAGCGGGCTCCTCTCCAGGACATTCCACATAGTGCAGTTTCTTTCCACTTCCTCTGCCATCTGGTGCCCAAGCTCTTTGAACACACTGCTCTAGCCTCACCTCCTCCAGGCAGCCTGCCCAGGTTGGCCTGGGCTGTATTAAGCTACTCCCTTATGAGCAGGCCTAACGGGCAAAGTCTAGGCTGCAGTGACTTGCTGTTTATTGAGTGCCTACTATGTGTCAGAGACTATCCTAGGCCTCTTCATCCATTATCTCTCGCTTAACCTTCACAACAGCCCAACAATCCTGCAAAGTGGATACTATGATGCCCATTTTACAGATGGGGAAACTGAGGCTCACAGAGGTGAAATGACTTCTGCAAGGTCACCAGCTAGCAAGTGGCAGAGATGGGGTTCAAACCTAGACCAGTCTGGAACTCCAACGCTTATGCTCCAACCACTAACCAGTGCTGATCTCCAGAGAGAGTCCTCAGGCCATTTTTTCAGGTGTGTGTGTGTGTGTGTCCTGCCTCCCCCATTAGACTACTCTGAGGGCAAGCTATGTTCCCTTCTCCGACTGTGAGCTCCGAAAGGGCAAGGCCCCATTGACTCCTTCTTCGTCTCCCCACACTGCCTGGGAGGGACTCTGCTCCCCGGCTCTGCTGAGGTCAAGGGGATACAGCACTGGAGGGCAGTGGACAGGGGCTCATGGTTGATGGGCCCTGGGTACTGTGGTGACCATCAGCCCCCTTAGAGCTTGTACCTCCTCCCAGACATAATCAGATGTCTGACCTGTCCAGAGAGGGTCTCCAATTTCTGCTCTCACAATCGCCCAGTGCCCAGTGCCCCGAGAGCCCCGGGGTGGGGGTGGGGCAGGAGGCAGAGTGATTGGTCTGGAGGAGAGGGCCGGGGCAGGAGGGGCAGGCAGAGAGGGGCCAGGGCCAGGGGCACGGGGTGGGCACTCAGAGACCTTGGAGCTAGAGAGAAGGGAGGGCAGATAGGAACTCCCCCTTGTTCCATACAGATTTTCACCCACAGTGGCAGCAAAACCCAAACCATATACCAACCACCTGAGTTAGTACAGAGGTCGCTGGTTTTAAGCTTCGGCCACGTGCTCAGTACCACTCTCTGTGTGGAGGACACGAGACAGCAGAGGGCTCTGGGGTCACACAGACCTGGACCCAAAACCTGCCTCTCCATGTCCTCGCTGTGTGACCCCAGGGCAGCCTCTTCCTGTCTCTGAGCTCCCAGGGTTGACTGAAGACTAACTAGGTCAGGAGAGTAAATGGTCAGGCTGGCTCAGGAGAAGCGTCGAATGAATGGTCACTTAAAAATAGATAATGAACACAAAACAGCTCCTGGAAACAGCGCTTGTTGCCTTAATCTGGCCCCCACCCCCTTCCCCATGTCCTCAGCACTTCAAGTGCCTGCTGCCCCTGCCGCCCCTGCCGCCCGTCCTTTTCTGACGAAGCAGGCTGGCACCCAAACCTCTGTAGCTTCCCCTTTCCCAGCCAAGAGGGTCCCCATTAGCTGTCTGCACAGAAGGGTAAAGATAACAATTGAAAGCGAAAGTCACAGCTGACACTTATGAGTGCTTACCATGTGCTAGGTACCGGTGTGAGGGCTTTACCCGGGGTAGGTCATCTAAGCCCCTCCCAGTAACCCCGGGACATGAATCCTGGGACGACTCCCACTTTAGAGACAAGGACACTGATACACGTACAAGGTTAAGTTACTTGCTGAGGTCACAGAGGCAGCGAATGGTGGACACAGGATGTGAACCGGGCTGGCCAGCTCCAGTCTGCACTCTTGACCTCTCCGGCCTGGCACGGAGAAGCTAAGTGCTGCCCGATGCCGGGGTTAGGTGGCCCTCCCAGGTGTGGCCTGCACCTGGGGTTTGGGGTTTGGCTGGGGGTGGCCCAGCTGTGTGCAGGCTCCAGGCTCGGCGTGGGCAGCAGCCTGAGGCCCCAATCGCCCAGTGCCCAGTGGCTGCAGGCTGTGTGGACCAAGGGGCTGTTATTAGCAGCTGGTGCAGGTGTGGAGGCCGGTGTGGGGCTCAGAAGCTCATGGAAGCCTGCAGCTGGAGAAGAGCAGCCCAGGAACTGGCGCCCGGGTTGAGGGCGGGCCATGCGGGGCAGAGGCCAAGGGCCTGGGCTCTGGAGTCCACGTGACTGACTTCCAGTCCTGCCTCTGCTATTTCTTAGCCATGTGGGCCTGGGCAAGTCACTCAACTCCCCTCTGCTCAGTTTCCCCATCTGTAAAATGGGGACTGTGACAGAATATACCCCAGATTAGCTAGTTGTGCCCAAAAGGTTCCAACCAGCACCTGGTGAGCCATAAGTACTCTGAGAGTATTAGTGACAGTTAGAGGGGTGGATGGCCTCCACTCAGTGGTTCATGGGACGACGGTGTCCTCTGCTCATGCGGCCCTGTACCTTCACCTTTATCCCACCCGCCTGCATGCACATTGAGCTGTAGGTGACCCTACCACTCAGCAGGGGGACAAGGTTAGAACACACAACCAGATCTGCAGGTGACACTCGGGAGCCCAAGCCACAGAAGGAAGGGTGGAGAACTCCCGTCTCGGGCGGTGTGACTTCAGACAGGCATGGCAGAGGGTGCCAGCAGGGGGGAGGAGGGGTCAGAGGACCCAGGCCCCAGCCCCAGTCCTGACGCCACCTCGCAGTGTGACCTTGGTGGGCGTCTCTTCCTCCCCGGCCTCTGTACTGTGCTCGGCAGGTCTGCGGCTCACAGGCAAGTTCACGTGGGGCTGGGGCCCCAGTGCCTGGCACGGGATGACTAAGTGATGGGGAAGGGACACAGGCACCAAGGAAACACCAGCTCCCAGCTCCGCAACACCTGGAGCCTGCCTGGAGCCTTCGGGGTTTCTAGAGACACTGAGAGCCTGCCAGTCCTAAAGAAGCTGAAACGCTCTTCACTCGAGATTCCCTCCCCTCTGCCCAGGCTGTAGGTCTCCCGAGAGTGGGCGCTGTGCTGGGCTCCTTGCCCCCGGATGCCCAGCGTGTACATGGTGCCTGCCACACAGTAGATGCCATGCTAATATCAGCTTATGAATAAGTGAAGCTCACACAGCCTAACCCACCCTGATCCCAGCCCTGACACTCTCCTGAGACACGGTGAGCCAGGTACCTGAATGTCCCACACGGACTGGTGAGCAGAGCCCCCTAGAGGCCAGGGGATGGGCGGAGGTGGGTGTGGGGTGGATGTGGGGTGTGTGTGTGGGGTATTGTGCTCCTTCCTCAACATCCCCCAGGACGAGGCCCCCTCCAGGGCCTGCCCAGCCCCTCCCCAAGGCCTGTGCATCCCTCTATACCTGAATAAGCTGTTGGGGGTGATAGGGGGGTTAGCAGCCCCCAGGGCCCTGTGGTTGGGTCAGTGGGTTTGGCATCAGCCACATGTCCCAGTCACCACGACGCCCCCAGCCCTGCCCGCCAGACCACTGTGGGGGAAGAGACCGGTGGGAGAATGGCCCACCCAACCTCTTCTAAAATGCTGCTCAGCAGCCTGTTGGAAAGCTCGTGGCGAGGAGGATTCCGAAAACCGACCTGCCCACCCCCGAGGCTCTGTGTAAGACCCCCCTGCCACCTCCCAGGGCAGCTCACTCCAGCTCCCTGGGTACCACCCTGGGGACACTGGTGGGGCTTGGGCACAGGAGAAGAGCAGAGGGTGGCCAGGTCAAGGCAGCTTTTAAAGCTCAGAGACAGAGAGAAAGGCCCAGGGGTTACTGGGGACATCAGCTGTCTCTGTCCCTTCCTGTCCCCTCACCAAGGATGGGGATGGGGACGAGGATGAGGAGTTAGGGACAAGCGTGGGGAAGGGGACCCTTCTCTATAACCTGTTCACCTCCGCTACCCCCTTCCTGCCAATGGGGTTCAGAGACTCTGAAGGCAGAGGCATGGGGTAAGGGGAGGGAATGAGCGGCGGTGGGGGGGGGGGGCGGGCGCGATGTCTTGGGTGGGGTGTGTGAGAGGCAGAATCTGCTTCTCCTGATGCCCCGAAGTCCCTCCAGAGATGCCAAGGGCAATCAGAAACCTCCCTCCCTCCCAAGGCGCACGGCAGGGGGTGTGTGGCTGTTGAGAAGGAAGCGACCCTGCTTCATGCCACCAGCTGGGGTGTGGTTCCAAGCGGGGCTGGGGATGCAGTGACCTCCGCGCGCGCTCTCTCCGAGCTGCCCCCTTACCCTCCCGGCGCCCTGTCCCCTCGGGGCACCGTGTCCCCTGGGGCTCGGCGGGGGTGGGGTGGGGTGCGGCTTGGTCCTGGCAGGGCGGGTCGTTCCCCAACCCCCCTCGTTTCCTTGGAGCGGTCGAGGCGACGCGCGCGCGTCCTGGGCGCGGGGACCTGAGCCCCCGCCCCCCACCTGGCCCGCGGCCCCCTCACCTCGCGACACGCAGGAGCCCATCACGGGGCCGCGGGGCCGGGCCGCTGCGCCTCGGGTGCGTCGGGCCGCCGGGCGCTCATGTCTCCGCGGGTCGGGGGGCTCCGCGCGCTCGGGCGCAGCGGGCGGGCGATGGGCTAGCCGAGGGGAGGGCAAGGGGCTGCGGTTCCGCGCGCTCAGCCGCCGCCGCCGCCCGGTCGTCCCCACCGCCGCCGCCGCCTCCCGCGCCGCGCCCGCTCCTGCTCCTGCTCCTGCTCCTGCCAGCCGCGGGCAGCTCGGCGGGCGGGGGGGCCCCGGGGACAGCGCGCCCCGGGGACAGCGCGCCCCGAGCCCCGAGCGCAGCGCGCAGAGGGCCTCCCCCCCGCCCCTGTGCGGCCGCCAGCCCCGCGCACCTGTTGCGCCAGCCCCGGCGGGGGGCTGGGATGCGAGGGACTGGGGGCGACAGGGAAGGGCAGGGGCATGGGGAGGGCAATTTCTGGCCCTCAGGCCTCCCGCGCCACCTGGTGACAGAGGCTGAAGGTCAGGGAAGGGGGCGGTGGGGACGGGGAGATTCCGGCGTCTAGGCACAAAGTACACAGCATTAATTTAACCACCACGACCGGACCCCTGGCTGAGCGCAGCAACAACAGCTCCATACGCCCATTTCGCAGAGGAAGAAACTGAAGCTCACAGAAGTCAGGTGCTTTGCCTGAGGTCCCTTAGCTGTGAGGTCCCTTAGCGACTTTGGACCGTCAGCTCCTTATTTGGGGGACGCTGGCCCAGGGTGGAGGGACAGAGAGTGGGGACAGGGTATTAGTGGCCTCGCTGCTGGAGGAGAGTCGAGCATCGCTCCACTGGGTCTCCGGCGGCACCTGCAGGAGGGGCGACGCCCTCTCTGCGTGTATCCAGGACAAAGTAAACTGAGGCCTCTAATCACTCACCCTCAGGCACACACATACCCCCTCACTCACACACCTACAAACACTCTCACATGTGCACACACTCAGACATGCCAACTCTGCACACCCACACACTTGTACACACTCACATACACTAGCAGACACCCACACACTAACAGCCATACACACTCACATTTATGCACCCTCCCCCCCCAGCTCCTTAGCTCGTCAGTGTCTGAAGCCGTCACCTTCACATGCTTCGTGTCACTCCGTCCTCACACCCACCTGTGCACCAGGCAGGCCAGGTGTCATCGTGTCCCTTTTACAGGTGAAGAAGCCGTGTTCACTGGTCCCTTCAGAAACCTGGTGACGGCCGGCTGGGATTTGAAGGCTCAACAAGGTTTGAACCAAGGGCGTGGGATGGAGCTGGACGTTTCTAGCAGGGCAGGATTCGGGCCTGGTGGGACTGCCCCGGGGCGGGGGGTAAGGGCTGGGTGGTGGGTGCTGACCTTTTTCTCTTTCTCCACTCCTGGTGCCCTCTCTGGAGTAAAGTCTGGGTGGAGAGTGGCCCTGGCCACTGGTGTCAGCAGATCTGGTGTGAATGTGGGCTCAGCTCACACAAACTATGTGACCTTGGACAAGTTGATTTACCTCTCTGAGCTTTCCTTTTTTCGTCTGTTCACTGGAGGTAAAAATCTCACCTCATGGGATTGCTATAAGTGTTAATGAGATATATTCAAAATGACTGGCACATAGTAGGTACTTAACTTATGGTTAAAAAGGAATAATAGTGACAGTGAACACAGGTACGAATCATTCTTACCTCCCCACAGCTTCCCTCTACCCACAGGAAGCTTAAAGAACCCCCGTTCAGTGGATGTGTATGAAGCACCTACTATGTGCCAGTGTGAACAAGACAGACGTGCCAGTCCTGGAGTCAGTGCTGTGTTTGGTCAGCGTGCTCAGACACCCCCATGCCCCGCCCCCATAGGACCTGGCCCCCTGCCCTCCCCACCCCCCCCATCAGGCCTGGGGGAAGATAGCTCTGAAGGGACAGCCTGTGGTCACCATGGATGTCCTGGTGCCTTGCACAGTGCCAGCTGTGTGTGTGCCCTGTGGGCTGGCTCTGGGGCCCTGTCCTGTGTGGCCCGGGGTTGAGGAGGCAGAAGTATCCTTTCTGTTTCTGTGGTGGAGTGACTGGATCTGGCTTGGAGGGAGGGCTCTGACTCACCGTGACACAGGAAGCTTGGTCACAGCTGCTGATGCTCCCAGCTTGCAGCCCGGCAGCTCTGGGGGCAGAGGGGACGGGGAGGGGGACCCCTGCAGAGAGGACGGGGCAGCTCACAGGGCAAAGGAGGCCTGAGGTGTCTACTATGTCCCCTTCAGCTTAAGACAGGGACAGGTGGGTGAGGCTGGACAGTGGCCCGACCCAAGACCCTTGCTCACCAGCTCAGAGATATGGCCGGGGGAGGTGGGGTGGTTCCGGCTGTCCCAGCCTCCAGCATTCATGCTGGTCAGTTCCACCCTGACTCAATCCTCTTGTTGTACAGATTGGTGCTCAGAGAGGGGCGGGGGTTTGCCCAAGGTCACACAGCAAACTGATGGCAGAGTGGGCACGAGAACCCGTGTCTCCTGCCTGTCATCCCAGCCCTGGCACTAACCTGAGACTGGACCATGCGAGGGTGGGCAGCTCCCCGTTGCACGCCCACATTCACCTTCCCAGTCCTTGGAATTCTGCTGAAGCTGATGGTCCCCAGATTCCCCGACGGCTCCAAGATGTATGGCTGTCCTTCCCCGGGGGCAGGCTGTCCTTGCCCAGCTCAGCCCACAGCCCATCTGCCCTGTGACCCTCCATTCCCCTCCCCCTGGCACCATCCTCCTCATCCATCCAGTGGGGAGAGGACAGAGGGGGTCCCCGCTGGGTGAGGGGACCAGGGGAGAGAGTGCCCAGGCTGTGCCCTTCACACCCCAAATCCTGTGCTCCTCTCCTGATTTTGGCGATCTGGGCAGAGTCCTCACTCCTGTGGTCTGCCCTACTTGTTCCTATTCAACAGCAGACACTCACTGGCCCTGGGGGCCCGGCCCCGGGCTGGGCGCTGGAGCGTGGAGGGCAGACGCTGCAGGCTTTGATCAGAGAAAGGTTAATCAACGGCAGCCGCACAGCGATGAAGCAGACTCGGTGCCTGCCCGGGCAGTCCTGGGAGGGGAGCCGTGTGCATCAGCAGCTCGGGTCAGGGTGGACAGTGGTGCCTCCCCAGGCCGGCCAAGTGTGAGGGGGGAGCTGCTTCTGCCAAGGGTCGTGGGGATGACTTCAAGGTGACAGTGACCCAGCGATGGGATTTTGAAGGTTGAATAGGACGTCGGCAGGCAGAGATGGTGGAGGGCTCTGCGTGCATCAAGTACGGAGGCAGGGATGCTTGGGGTACAAGGGGACTGGCATATATGACATCCGGGGGACCAGCGGGAGAAGACGAGACTTCAGACTGGGTTTGCCCACCTCGTGCCTCAAACATCTCCTCAGTATTGGTTTTCTCAGGAAAGGCAGAACTGGATGAGCAGAAAGAGAACAGAATTGGAAGCCAGACAGATCTGGGTTTGACTCCTGTGCCCAGAACAATATGTAGTAGGTGCTCAATAAGTGTTTGTTGACTGAATGCAAGAAAGTAACACTTGTCCAAGGTCACGCATCTACAAAGTGGTTACAGGCAGGACTGACTGATCAACCTTTCATTCATCCAGCAAATGGTTGTTGAGCAACCATGATATGCCCAGCCCTGTGTGGTGCCGAGATGAGAGTGTGAATGAGACAGACGAGGTCCCTGTTCACTAGAGAAGGGAGAACATCCTGGTGGGGGAGGTAGGCGTTAATCCCATAATGTTCCAGGTAAATTGAGAATCACAGCCTGGCAGCACTAGGAAAGAGCTGCTGAAAACATACAAAAGAAGACGTAATCTGGTTTCGGGCGTGGAGGGGGTGTCCAGGGGAAGTGACCGTGACTGAGTTCACAGCTGAAGGGTGAGTGGGACGTGGCTTGGCAGAGAGAATGTTGCACAGGCCACCTCAGAGGTGGAGGAAGGGACCCGTTCCCAGGAGGAAGAGAGGGCCAGGTGGCCGGAGCGCAGAGGGTGAGAGGGAGGAGGTGGCGGGAGCCAGCCCCTGCAGGGCCTCACTATGGGGTCTGGGCTTTGTCTAAAGAGCAAGGGGAAGCCCCATCCTCTGTTTTCTTATCTACCAACCACCTTCCTTCCGGTCACTCTTGGGAGGGGTCGAGGCCCGAATGAAGCTCCTAATACAGTGCCCTGTTTCTCTGGAACCGTCTGGGAACCCGGGAAAGATAGGCCACAGGCTGATCTCAGAACGTGCCCTCTCAGCTCCTGGCTCGGGATCGGGGACTTCTAGCTGGAGCGAGGTGTCACGTCAGAGTCCCCGCTACCTCTCCCCTGGCAACAAGCTGGACTGGGTGGGGTGGGGAGAGGCTTACCCCATAGTCTGATGGAGGAGACAGAGTCCTCAGGGAGCTCCAAGTCTGATGGAGGAGACACAGCCACTGTGCCGGGCGCCGGGGACACTGGGGTGAGACCAGCCCTTGCCCAGGGGAGCTTCCAGCCCGGTGAGTCAACAGGTGTCCTGAGTTCGTCTCTAAAATGCTGGCCCAGGCTGCTCCGCGGGGGCTGCTTCATGACAGGATCCCTTTCTCAGGGTTCAGAGGCTGCTACCCCGACTCCTGGGTCTTGAGATCTCTGTAGGTAGGGAGGAGGCCCCCCTGCTAGGACCGAGGCAGACACTCTGGACAAGGCTGCCCTGAGCCGTGCATGTCATACAGCAGATGACCACCAGGGGGCAGCACGAGACAGCCCCATTCTTCACGGCTTTCATCTTCCTTCCTCCCTTGGCCCATTGACCCAGAAAGTACCATGCTGGCGACTCAGACTCAGCCACGGTTCAAGGTTGTGCATCACGCACCCCGCACAAAGGTGCCCAGCCAAGGGAGAGGGCACGGAAACCGTGCCCATGCTCTGAGCTCTGGAGTGGGCTGTGTCTGCCCCACCCAGTACAGGCTGCCTTTTCCTTAACACAAAGGTGTCGTCTTCTTGCTAAGCTATGTGCTACAAGGCTGCCTCCAGTGGTATTCACACAGAGTCCCTCAAGGCTAGCAACACCTCTGAGCTCAGACATCAGCTGGTCCTAACGGCCCCCGGTACAGATGTGGAGACCGAGGCCCAGCGGAGGAAGCAAGGCCAGTTAGGAGAAGAGCTGGGACTGGGATCCCACAGCCAGTGGGATGCCCTGCTTCGCCTGGAGGCTTTGGGTGCTAGGTGCCACCTCTGGAGGCCTGGCCCTGCCTAGGGGTCCGGGGGCCAGGGCTGTCCGGGAAGCCTGAAAAAAAGGCCACAGGCTGACCTCAGAATGTGCCCATTCTCAGTTCCAGGCTCAAGACTGGGGGCTTCCAATTAACGTGGGGTGACAGGTCAGAGTCCCCCCCAGGCAACCAGCTGGACTGGATGGTGTAAGGAGAGACAGAAGGGGAAGCCCCCAGTCTGACGGAAGAGACACAGCCACTGTGCTGGGCACTGGGGACACTGGGAGGACTTCAGCCCCTGCCCTGGGGATGCTTCCAGCCTGGTGAGCAAACAGGTGGCGAGGAGTTCCCAGCACTAGGACAGACATCCCCCACCTCCTCGAGGGACAGGCATCCTTGTGGTCATCACAGGCCGTCCCCAGCGGGGGAGAGCCTGGCTGAGCCCAGTTGGGGCCACTGGTGGGGGCTTGGGGGGCAGTTTCGGGTGTTTGAGCTAACAAGGGCAACAGTAATAATCATGACAGCTGAGACCTGCCCATGTGCTGAGACCCTTACTGGTCCCGTCCTATTTAACCCTCCCAGTAACCCGAGGAGGTGGGTCCGAGCCGTGGCCACGCTGAGGCAGCCCTTCGACTCCCAGCATTCCCCTCTGTCTTGACCCCTGGGTGATTCCGAGCCTGACAGCTCCTGGGAACGAGAAGTCTCACCCACAGAGGTCTTCCCTCTGTCACTCCCTCATTCATCAAATATTGATCGAATCAGTGCCTGCAATGTGCTGTCTGCCCAAACAATGGGGTACAGTTGAGAGTAATCAGACAAGTCTCGGTTGTCTTGGAGATTAGGGTAGGTGTCAGGAAACCATGATCCATGGACCAAATCTGGCCCTTGGCTTGTTTTTGTAAATAAAGTTTTATTGAAACATATCCATGCTCATTTGTTTACCTGTTGTGTCTGTGGCTGCTTCGCCTATAACGGCAGAGTTGTGTAGTCACAACAGAAATGGTACGGCCCTCAAATCCGGAAATATTTACCGTCTGGCCCTTTGCAGAAAAAGTTTGCCGACACCCAACTTAAAGTCTGGCAGAGAGGACAAACATTAACGAGTCACTGGAATAAGTAAATAAATGGACAAATCGTGAGAAGTGCCAGGAGGGGCATATCAGGGGAAAGGAATTGAGAATTAGGATTAGACTGGCTGCCATTTCTTCTCACCTCCCACCCCCAACACCCTGACCAGGTCAGCGAGGGCAGGACACGGGCAGCACATACAACGTGCCAGCCTGTCTGAAGGTCAAGCCTTGGACTGGAGTAGCCTCTGGGGTTGTGTGTGAGCCAGGCAGAGGTGAGGGTCCTGCTGAAATTTGCACTTTGGGCCACTGCCCTCATTCTCCATCTCCTGGCCTCACACCTTCACAGCCAGTCACGAGTGCTCCCAGGTCCTCCATCTGCTCGTCCCCCAGGAGGCAGGCAGACCCGGAAGCACGGTTCCTTTCACAAACGGAGCCACTGGGGCTCATTACGTTCGATGACTTGGCCGAGCCTTGCTGAGCTTCAGGCAGAGATCTCGATGTCGTGGAAAAGCCCCGGATGGCATTTAGGACATCGAAGTTCTAGCCCAGGACTCATTCGGGCAAGTCTGTTCCCCTCTGGACCTCAGTTTCTTCATCTGTAACCGAGAGAGTTGGAGAAACGGACCTGTAAGCTCTTTTCTGATCTGCCAGCAGCACGCCGGGGCTCGCCCTGTCCTCTCTAGGCCTTGGTTTGCCTCTGTAAAGTGGGGAGAGGAACGCTGGGCCCTCCCACACTTCTGGGGCTGGTCCCAGGCCAGGGAGATCACAGATGGGAAAGTGCTTTGAGCTCGGTGGAAGAAAGGAGCTCTATAAACCCAGGGGGTTATTAGGGGGTTGGGGATGAGGAGGGGGCCCAAGGTCAGTATCCCCCAGGGCAGTGTTTGGTCTAACCAGCAGAGGGCACTGTGGGGGAGCTGAGGCAGACCTGAGCTGGAATCACCGTTCCTCCTAGAACACGGACCCCGGCCCTGCTGTGTGCCAAGCCCGCAGTGCTGGGGGTGGGGACATGGCCGTGAACGGCCCTGAGATGCTCCCAGTCTGGGGTTGGCCGAGGCGGGACATGGAGCAAATAGGCCTTAACACAGAGGTGGGAGCTGTGGTGGGGCCAGGCACGGACGGTGAAATCAGGAGGGACGTCCAGCCTCCAGCCCAGGTCGCAGGTCTGGGCTGGACAGCCAGAGGGGTCACGTGGAGAAGTGAAGCATGCTGGCTGCCTCGGTTCCAATCCTGGCTCTGCCTTCTACGGGCAAGTTACTTCCCCTCTCTGGGCCTCGAGTTCCTCACCTGTGAAGTGGGAATAGTATTAGGAGCCACCTCACCGAGTAGTCTCCAGAATTAAATGAGCTGATCTTAGGTGGCGCCCCTAAAACAGGGCCTGACCTGTGCCAGTTCCTTACATGCTGCTGTCGGGACCTGAAGTCAATGGTTTAGATGCTGGAGGCTGAAGCCACAAGGGGTTTGTGTCCACTTCGGGGGAACGGGCTGAAGATGGGGCCACCTGAAGGAGAGAGAGGCACAGCCTGGGAGATTTGGGGGAGGGGAGCACAAAACTGGGGAGGGGGGTGCAGCGAGGGGAGGGAGGGAGTCTGGAGGAGGAAAGAGCAGCCAAGAACCCGGTATAGCCCCAAACCAAACTCCCCTGCTGAGTTGCCGCCTCCCAGCCCCCTCCTCAGCTGTGTGCCCTGGGCACGTCCTTGGGCCTCTCTGAGCCTCAGTCTCCTCCTCTGGAAAATGGGAAAACGGCTCCTGCATCTCAGGGCTTCAAAGTCTCCTTAAGAAGGCCTGGCTCTGGGAGGAGTGTAAATGCCCCCCACCATCTTCTACTGTAATCCCTGGCCCCATGAGGGGCTGCTGGGGCTGGCCCTGTCCCCACAGTCACCCAGGCCTTTTGTTTAGAAAACCAGCCGAAGAGGAAAACCCCAAAAGCAAACACAGCTCAGCTGGTCTCCCCCGCCCAGCCCCACCCAGCACTGCCATGCCCACTCCTGACTTCCCAGCCCCAGAAGCGGGTGGGGTGGGTGGGGGGAGAAAGTGACACCCTGGGAAAGTGTTTCTCCCAGCGGAGGTGGGGTGGGGGACAGCAACCAGGGCAGGGTGGAGCTGACAGAAGGGCCCCCGGGAGTCACCTGAGGTGTGAGATGTTCCTGTGCCAGCAGGTAGGACAGTGGGCTCCCGAATCCAGAGCCCTGCTGCCCCCCTCAACCCTGCCCCACAGCTCCTGATTCCCATTCTGGTGATGACCCCAAGCCCCGGGGTGTGATGCGGGAGGCCCAGCGATCAGGCCCTCAGACTGCTGGGTGGGAAGGGCAGAAGCCAATCTGGGGAGGGGGCTGGGGGGGGAGGAAATGGCTCCAGGGCAGGGCCTGTCTGAGGATGGAGGCACCTTCCAGCAGGCTTGGAAGCCGAGGAGGTGATAACCATGGAAATAAGGAAGTCAGAAGTGCAGGAGAGGAGGGGGATACGCAGAGGGACAGCAAGTAAATCCAATTAACGAGAACAATTCTTAGATTCCGCACCTCACTGGAGGAAGGTCCGTTTGCTCACTGTCCTTTTGGTCCTCATGGCCAGCCTGGGAAGTGGGGATTACTTTGAGGACCGTCGTGCAGATAAGGAAACTGCGGCTCAGAGAGGCAAGTGCCTGGATTCCGTTTTCTATCTGCCTAAGAGAGCTGGGTGGTGCGGGGGTGGGGGGACACACAGTGCTCTGGATGTGGGGAAGTGGACCCAGGAGGGAGGAGGTGAGGCTGGGTCTCTGGGGCTTTGTCTAGGGCTTGTCTCTTTGGGGACCCTGAGCTTCAGAGTGGAGTCACTGTGGCACTTCCAGGCCAGGCGGGGGCAGGATGGTGGTCATGGCTGAGCAGGGGCCCATCCAGCCATCCATCCTAGAGGGTGGGGGAGGGGGTGGGCATCAGGGGTGTTGCCCGGCCTGGGACACTGAACTAGAGGAGTGGGGAGACTGGCGGCAGGGACAGTAGCCGCTTCCCCTCCTGCCCAGGGGACCCACAGTGTCCTCTTGCTGGAAGTGGCCCGGACTCTGTTGTCTCCCTGATTCTCATCCGGAAACCTCTGCACTGCCCCGAGGAAGGCCCTCTCTTGGGGCTCTGCTTTTCTGGGGGCACACCTGTGCAGACCCTGACCCGTGGCAGAGTCAGGCGGGGGGCTCTGGGGTATCTGCTGGGGAAGTGTCACTGTGGCCAGTGTCACTACTTCCCCCTCCCCACCGCTGGGAGGATCTGGTTCATGGTCAGGCCCTGGCGCCCAGGCTTTGGGTGGGAGAGATCGCCCCACATCTCCCCTACCACCGGCTGGGGCCTGGACCACCTCGGCCCGGTGATAGAAATTGCACCTTCCAACACTTCCTCGCATTTCTCCAGCGCTGCCCTGGCTGGGGGCGTCCTGGGAGGAGACCAGGGGGTGCAGGGTGAGTTTGGGGACGGGGAGCAGATCTCTGAGCAGGCACGAGAAGAAGCTCTAGGATGTTGGGCAGAAAAGGAAGATTCAACCATGGTCAAGTGAGTTAACCTTGCTCTGTCGTGACCTTATGGGCAGCCGTGAGGACCTGGAGATGCCGCACCTGGTGTGTACTTCGTGTTCAAGGAAAGTGTGGTGTTATCAGTATCGGAGAGTGGCCTCTCATGACCTTGTCTCACCCCCTCACTTCTCACGGGGGAAACCAAGGCTCAGAGAGGGCGTGGGCCCTCTCCTGGGTCACACAGCGCTCAGAGACGGCTGGGCCGGCGCCTCCCCAGGGTGGGTCCCTTGGGGCAGCCTCCATTGTGCTCTCCCCAGCAGGAAACGCTGTGCTCAGCAGCCTGGGCAGAGAGAGAAGAGGAACAAGTTTGACTACGTGACCGGGAGGCCCTGGAGGCTGAGCTAGGCCCAGTGCCTGGAAAACAACCTGCCGGGGGGGCCCCCTGGGCAGGGCAGTGGGGTGGGCACCAGGATGGAAACCTCCCTGCCTAGAGAGGGAGAAGTGGGCTGAGATGTGGCCTTACGCTGGGGAGGTGCTGGGTGGCGGCCTCAGGGCCCTGTGCGCCAAACCCGCCAGCAAGGGGGCAGCTGGTCGGTCCTCCGATGCTCCCCAACACATGGCTGCTCAGGGGAGGGGCGGGCACGGGGATGGGCAGAGGGGCCGATGGGTACGTGTGGCACCTGGGGGCGATTTGCACAGGCTGCTGGCCTGCTCATCCGCTCCAGTTACAGAGATTTGTGTGCGCAAGCAAGCGGCGGGAGGGCTCGGCCCCCAAGAGGCCCAGTGCCCAGGGAGACAAGGCCCAAGGGAAGAGAGCTGGGCCTCTGCTGGGATGCCCACCACAGGACCTGGAGAAATGTAGAGTCCCTCTCTGGGCCTAGTTCCCCTTGGGGACCCGTGAAACCACTGTGTCCCTCACTTCTAGACGAGACACAGGGCTGACCTGGGGCTGGGAAGCCAGCTGTGAGGAGCAGGCTGCGTAGCGTGTAGGCCCAGGTGGTCTGTGGCGTGGACGGTCACTGCGGGGAGGACACTGAATGCCAGAGCAAGCAGCCAGGACTTATCAGGAGGCCAAGTGGAGCCACTGAAGCATTCAGCACAAGGGTGGGTGGTGGTCAGATGAGGCTGCTGGGAGGGGCCAGACTGGAGGCTGGGAGGCCCGAGGGGAGGCCACAGCTCGAGCAGCAGTGGGGGGATGGGGTCAGGAAAAGTTGGGAGGGGACATGGTTTCCTGGAGGCTGAGTGGGTGAAATTGAAAGTGCAGACCCTGGTGGCGGCTGTCGGGTCCACTCCTGGCTCCTGCTCCAGCCGCGCGATGTCCTGACGGTCTGGAAAACCCCCTGCGTCTTGTTCTTTGTACGTAAAACAAAAGCGAGGTTGGAACGGGTTCAGAACAGAGAAACCCCTTGCCTCTCTCTCTGGACATCCCAGCGCCAAAAGCTCTGGCCAGAGGATGCTCAGAGTCGGGCAACAGGGCGCAAGGAGGCAGGGAATATGCACAGCACGAGGAGGCAGAGCTGTCACCTGGACAGCAGGGAGGCTGGCGGGCGAGGAAGCAGGTATCCCTTGGGGCAGGGGCCCAGGGGCCCAAGGTGGTCCTGTGAGCTGGAGACGGCAGGCATTGGGCAGAACCTCAACTGGGGGGCCTGAACCCCAATTGGTGTCATTAGGGGAGCCAGCTGTGCAGCCGTGAGCCATTGCTTAAGGAAATGAAACTCGGGGAGGCGGCAGGAATAAAACATCCTGTCTGGATGACGAGAATGCCACAGGGCCAGCCACAACCCTCCGCTTCGCTGCTGGTCTCTTCTGCAGCTGCTGCCCCCCCAGGCTGTGATCCCCAACTTCTCCCCACTCCTCTGCCCTCTGAGAGATGGGGACAGGTGCCCCACAGGATGGATATCTCTCCGCTGACCACACGTCCCCTTGGACTCTCTCTAAGCCTGGTTTCCTCATCTGTAAAATGGGGCTATAATGATGCTTGCCCCAGAGGGTCAATGGGAGGAATAAATTAAACCACGTGCAAGGGGGCATGGCATATACAAAGCGCCTGGGACTTCTGGCTGCTGGTGTGATCTGGTGTCACACCACACAGGGGCCCTGAGAGGCAGAGACACTCTGCACATCGTACAGAAGAGGAAAACTGGGGCACGGCGAGTTGAAGGGATGTGCCCATGATCACACTGCAGTTCTAACCACATAGCTCCCCAGCCTGGGTTCTTGCCATGGTGCTGCCTGGCAGTGTGGAAGGGAATGGGTGGGAGTAGATTGGGTGCAGTGTCCACATACCCTTCACCCGGGCCCCAGCGCCCTCCTCCTCTCTCTCCTGGCCCGTCTCCCCACCCCTGCCAAAGGCAGGCCCTCAGAGGGCTCAGGTCTGCAGCCCCATGAGCATCCCTTTCTGACTCCCGCGTCCCTCCTTGGGCTACAGTGCCTCTCTTAGGTCTAACCTGAGTCCTCCCCGTGTTAGCTATGGCCCGCTTCCCCCCAACCTGCCTTGTGGGCTGGCAAATGGCAGCCACTCTTATTGAGATGCACCCCCGGCCCCCTGATGCAGAAAAGAGGTCACCAACCCCTTCTCCAGGGCATCGTCCTTTCTGGCCCAGGGGTCCCCTGAAGCTCTACCAGCCTCCCCGGCAGGAGGAGCCGCAGCTCCTCAGACTCAGAGAAGTCACCGTGAGCCCAAGAGAGAAATCAGGCAGAGCAGGAAATCAGACATCTGGTTCTGAGCAAAGGTCCAGAGCCCTATTCCTCCAGCTAGCACTTCTGGTGCCTAAATCCAGCAGGGCAAGAGTATAAGATGCCAAGTGGGGCCAGGCAGGAGCCAGCTTCCCCAGCACACCTGGCCAGGTGAGCAGGCGGTGGAGCCAAGAGCCAGCTCATCGCTTGGGTGTAAACAGCAGCCCAGTGGGAAGTTGGCAGCCACCTCCTGTGCCCTTTCCCCAGCCCCGTCCCCACGAGCCCCACCCCAGGGAAAGAGGGTGTCCCAACTTGTTGGAGGAGTTTCCATCTCACAGCTGTGTCCATACCGGGTGGGTGTGTGGGGTGGCTGAAGGGGCCCACAGACAATCTTTGTCCTCCAGACCCACCCCCTTCTTCTCTGGTGCTGGGACGGCGCCAGGGTTCTTGGAATGCCGAGGCCCCCCTTGCACCCACCCCACCCCAGATGCCTCTGCCACTCACTCCCAGGGCCCACGCCAGCAGAGCAGAGCAAGGGCAGTCTGTGAGCAGGATCGTGCCCTGAGGGGGGTGCCCCTTGGCTCCTGTTCCCACCAGATGGGAGCCGTATCCCTTGGAAGAAAGGGTGCAGCTCCAAGGTGTCCAGAAGGAGGAAGAAAACAAGTCTCCATCAAGCCCTGCATTTTACAGACATGATCTGGGAGATGGGGATTGCCACCCCTACTTTAAAGATGGGGAAACTAAGGCTAGACCAGCAGTTGTATGAGGGCTTGGACTCTCTCTGCCTTGTTTTCCCCTGTCTCCCTGGTACCTGGCACACAGCAAGAGCTCATGGTGTGCTTGTGGAGTGGATGAATGAGGCTCAGAGAGGGCAAGTGACCTGGCCAGAAAGTTGCTCAACGGGGAATCAACCCAGTTTGAATCCTAAAGCCAGGCTGTTCCTGAGACCCACCCACTGAGGTGGGGTAGCACTCGTGCATGCATGAATGTGCACCCACCCTGCTGTGAGAGTCCTGTCCACGCTCATATACACACCTACACTCACAGCCCTCAGCCGAGAGCCCCCACCTGCCACCCCACTCAAGCCCAGTGGTGGGCCCTCTCCCACCCCCTGCCACCTCTGGCAGGCACTCAAACTTCCTTCTGCACTGGTCTCACACCCTCCTCTGTCACCACCCCCCTCCTCCACTCCTGGAGAAGGCAGGATGGTGCATGCCCTCTTCCACCCCCACAGCCCTGGCGCCCTGGCGCCCTGTCTTCCTCCTCAGGCCCCAGTAGCCACACTGGCACCACTGCGCTGGAGAAGACTGGGGAAGCACAGAACGTCAGAGCAGGGGCGCAATGTGCAGACGGACGGTCAGCCTCGGGCCAAGGACCGGGCAGCATGAGGGCCACCGTGGTAGAGCTGGTACCCAGGCAGAGTCGGGGGCCTGGCTGTCTGCAGGGCAGTTCCAAGACTGGGGGCCACCTCCCTGCTGTGTCACAAGGTCGAGCCCCAGGGAGCAGCTGACACTGCAGACCTGAAGGACCAGAACCTCTTCCTGCTTTGCGCAACCCCAGACCTGCTGGGGGGTCAGCTGGGGTCTCAGGTCTCCAGGCAAGGGGGCCGGGGACTCTCTCCAAAGCAGGTTGAACCTGCCGTGTGGCCCTCCTGCTTCCCCACTAATAAAGGGCCCACAGGGCAGGGGTGGTCAGGGAGGCAGGGACCCCTGCAAGTACAGATGGCACGTGCCAGACTACGCTTGAGACCCTCCTCAGTTTTTCACTGACCCTCACAGCAACCCTGGGAGACAGGCACTAATTTATCTTAGGTACCAATATCATTCCCATTTTCGAGAGGGGTAAACCCAGTCCCAGAGAGTTAAGGCACCCGACCAGGGCCCCCAATTCCTGGCAAACAAGAGGCGTTTGCTAAGTATTTGTTGAGTGGATGAAGTCGAGGGGGGAGTGACTCGCTCAAGAGCATCAGCAGAGTCAGATCTGAACCCAGGTCTGACCCCGAAGCCCCTTGGTTTCTCTGCCTCGACTGAACTCTGCAGCCTTGGGACCGACGGACAAGCACAGCTGACATATTTACCCCTCACGGGCATCATGAGATGTGACCAGCTTTCCGGGGCTCCACGCTGTTTCCTTTCACCCCGAGAAAGGCAAAAGCAGCCCCTGACAGCCAGGAGCCGGCCTGGCCCTCCCAGCTAGGCCACGGTGTGCTCCTGTGGAGCACAAAAAATTTCACAGATCACCAGCATCAGACAAGGCCACTCGATGACTGTGATGGATTAAGACAAAAAACAAGACCGCTCTGTAATCGTGTCTGAACACAGACAAAAAAATGAACGTGGTCCAAACCACAAAAATGATTGAATGTCCCTTTATCCTGGCTAAATGAGTGACAGCTGCTTCTTTGCCAATCACAGCTTTAGCTTCAATTCATCCCACTTCCCTTCTAGACTAAAATGATGACGGTACCCAATCACAGAATCACCCCTGCTTTGTGATGGCATCCAACCCAGAGCAAAGCTCCTCTCCCTGGAGCCGTCCTCCCCAGGAGCACCTGACGCCAGCCTGAGTCCCTTCCAGCCCTTCCTCGCCCCCTCGCTGGGGCGCCCCGCAGTTTCTTGAGGTGCGTGTTCTCCCTCGTTGCAATAAGCGGTAAAGCCAACTTGCTTCACTTGGTTCGGGTGTGTTTCTGGCGGCCTTTGGCTGGAAGGCATCCCCAAAGTCTGAGGACAACTGAGCAAGTCGTGTTTCCTTCAGCCCATTTTGCGGATGCCCCTGGAGCTGCGGGCCAGGAGAGCGCCAGCCCTGATGGAGCGTGGTGGTGGCAGAGGAGCCGAGATCTCCTAGGAGCCCGTGTTTCAGGCTCTCTGACTGGAGAACCATTAACTCCTGCAGCACCTACCAGCCCGTCCGCCACAGCCCACCTGTGAGCCTTGAAACCCGGCCACCCCCCAACCATGGCTGGGCTCCAAGCACCTGCGGAGGGAGGATTGGAGAAGGGAACCAGCACTGGACCAGGAGTCAGGAGACCTGGGCTCTGGTCTTGCCTCTGCCTCTCATTGGCCTGAGGCTCAGTTTATCCATCTGTACGACAGACCGGGGTGGGGCTGAGTCTGGGAAATGATCAAAGGAAGCCCTCCTCAGTTAGATCACGGCCCCAGCTGCCTGCTATAACCTGTCAGTGCTCAGGACAGAAAGCTTCTAGACTCCCCTCCCAACGCCTGGTCCCCTGAGGGTTAACAAACTTTCCCCTTCCAGGCTTGATGTTGTGGGGTGACCCGGGGAGCAGGTGAGGGGCCGGGGTCCTACCTGTCCCCAGTCACTAGAATCCGGGCTGGGCAGAGACCCTTCCTGAGAGCTCAGGGCTAAGAGTTCATGGCCTCTGCAGCCCGTCCCTCCCTGTCGCCCAGATCGGGGCCCCATCCAAGCCAAACAGACCGGAGGAGGAGCCGGAGGTGCCACAGGAAGGGCCTGGGGGCCCGCGGGGGACAGGCTGGCAGGGGCAGTCAAGGAAGGCAGTCTGTGTAGCCTCATTCAGCTCTACATCCTGCTTCTCCTGCGCAAGGGGATGTGGCCGGCCGCCATTCTGCCCCAGGCGGGAGCAGAGGAAGGGGACCCAAGCGGAGGGATGAGGCAGAGCCAAGGACCTTTCCTGAAAGGAATTGCTTAGCGCAGAAGGTCAAGGGAGTTGGCTTTCCCTCAGGCGTGGGAGCCTCTGCTCCTTGCAGTCCTTGGGAGGGGAAGAGCGAAGAAGAGAATCCAGACAGGGGGGCCGGGCCCACCTCCCAGCTTCACCCCTCGATCCCCTCCTGCCTCGCCCTCCATTCTGATTCACCAGCTCCGCTCTGCACCTTCACAGAAGATCTGGAATGCCCTTCCCTCCCTGACCCCTGTTTGCCAGGTAGTTGTTACACGTCTCTCAAACCTCGGCTTAAATACTACTTCCTCTTGGAAGCCCCCCTGCTTGGATCTCCTTGCAGTGTACCGTGCGGCTCCCTCTGCTTCCCCCTCCCACCCTTCATCTCGCTGGGTTGAAACCAACTGTCTATTACCTTCCTCGAGGGTAAGGGACAGCCTCTGTGTTGTTCATAGCTGAATCCCCAGGGCCCAAAATGGGCCTGGCATACTGTGGGTGCCACATAAGTACTTGATGATGGGTAAATACAGCAATGGAGATGTGGACTCTAGGAACTAGAGCTGGGAGCAAGGGACCTTGAGTTGGGAAAGCTTCTGGTGGCAAAGTTCTGTGCAGGAATTTGAGATTAGGAGATGCCTGAGATGAGTTCTTGGCCTGGACACAGCCTGGGAAATGCCAAAGGGAAATTATGGCGTGGCTGGGGCTTCCACCTCCAGGGACGGTGGGATAGGTAATTTGGACCAACCCTCCTGCTGAAGACAATTAAAATGCCTAGATTCAGTTAAAAAAGATCATCTTCTTAAGGCCAACAAATGATTAACAAGGTAGTGAAGAGTTCCCTAACAGAATCTGGAAAGTGAGGATCCAGGGAGGAAAGCCCTGTGTGGAAGACCACGTCTGCCCGAGGGCATTGTCAATCTGGAAGAAACGGTACTGAGCTGTATTGTTTGTTTATTTATTTTTTGGGGGGAAGATTAGCCCTGAGCTAACATCTGCCGCCAATCCTCCTCTTTTTTGCTGAGGAAAACTGGCCCTGAGCTAAAATCCGCTCCCATCTTCCTCTACTTTGTATGTAGGACGCCTACCACAGCATGGCTTGCCAAGCGGTTCCACATCCACACCCGGGACCCGAACCAGCAAACCCCAGGCTGCTGAAGCCGAACGTGGAAACAAGACACCAAAAGCAAGAATCAGCACAAAAAAGGGCAACAGAAATAATAAGTATGCGACATGTGGAAGTGTTAGCTAGTCTTGCGCTGGTAATCACATTGCAATAAATGAATGTATCAAATCGACACATTGTATGCCCTAAACTTACACAATGTTACATGATGATAATATCTCAATTAAAAAAAAAAGGACAACAGAAATAGACCACAAGGACTTTAGGTATTGGAATTACCAAAAATTATGGTCTTAGAATCACAGGCTCAAAGATCCTCAAGGACAAGTTCATCCTAAAATGCATGTGGAAAAACAAGGGACCAGAGTAGCCAAAACAACCTCGAAAAAGAAGAACAAATGTGAAGGACTCACACTTCCTGATTTCAAAGCTTCCCACAAAGCTACCGGAATCAAGACTGCGTGCTACCAGTGTAAGGACAGACACGTAGATCAATGGAGTAGAATTGAAAGTCCAGAAATAAACCCATATACAATGGTCAATTGACTTTTGACAAGGGTACCAACAAACTCAATGGGGAAATCATCTCTTCAATAAATAATGCAGGGACAACTGGATTTTCATGCAAAAGAATGACGTTGGACCTCTACTTCACACCATACACCCACATACACCATTAACTCAAAATGGATTAAAGTTCTAAAACTGTGAGCTAAAATTATAAAACTGTTAGAAGAAAACAGGTGTAAATCTTCGTGACCTTGGATTAAGCAATGGTTTCTTAGATATGACATCTAAGCGTAAGCAAAGAATGAATAGACAAATTGGACTTGATCAAAATTTAAAACTTGAGCTTCAAAGGACACTACGTGAAAAGACAATCCACAGAATGGAAAAAAATATTTGCAACTGAAATATCTGATAGGGGCCTCATATCTGGAATATATAAAGAACTCTTACAGTTCAACAATCAAATGCCAAATAATCCGATTGAAACATGAGCAAGGATTTGAATAGACATTTCTCTAAAGATGATGTATGAATGGCCAATAAACACATGAAAAGATGATCAACGTCATTAATGGTTATGAAATTGTAAATCAAAACCACAAAGAGATACCACTTCACACCCACTAAGACGACTACAATAAAAAAGACACATTAACAAGTGTTGGCAGAGAGGCGGAGAAAGTGAAGTCTTTATACACTCCTAGTGGGGATATAAAATGGTGCAGCCACTTTGGAAAACAGTTTGGCGGTGTCTCAAAAAGCTAAAGATGGAGTTCCCGTATGCTGCAGCAATTCCACGCCGTGGAAGACATCAAGAGAATGGAAAACATGTTTACAGAGAAACTTATACTTGAATGTTCATCACAGTGTTATTCGTAATAGCCCCAAAGTGGAAACAATCCAAACGTCCATCCTCGAAATAGGGTGCACCCAGACAATGGAATATTACTCAGCCATAAAAAGGAATGAAGTCCTGACACGTCATGAATGAACCTCGAAAACATGCTGCGTGAAAGAAGCTTGACACAACCCTGCATGTTCGTTCCATTTATACGAAATGTCCAGAACAGGTGAAGCCATGGCAGAAAGTAGACTAGTGGCTGCGGGGGTGAGGGGGTGGAGGGAGGAGTGACTAATAGGTACAGGGTTTCATTTGGGGGCGATGAAAATGTTCTGGAACTAGACAGTTGACGGTTGCACAACCTTATGAGCAACCAAAATGATTGAAGTGTATATTGTCAAAGGGTGAATTTGATGATATATAAATTATTTCTCAATTGAAAAAAAGATCCTCCGAGATAATGATTGCTGACAATAATGGCTAACATCCGTGGAGCCCTGTGCATCAGACTTGTCCTAAGTGCCTTATGCGTATTAATTCACCTATTCCTTTCACTATTCTTGTAGGTAGGAACTATTATTATTCCATTTTACAAATGAAAACTGAGACAGAGAGAGGTCGCTTGCCTGAGGTCATCCAAGGCAACTGGTCATTGTTCAGACAGGGAGCCTGAGGCCCAGAGAGGGGTGATGGCTTGCTCAGGTCACACAGCAACCCAACAGCAAAGCTGAAACTAGAACCCAGGGCCCCTGCCTGATTCTCCTCAGGAGCCCTTCAGAATCAGTTCTCATTTGGGTCAGGGAGTGCTTTAGGGGTCTGTGTGCCCCTAGAGGCCTCAGGAAAGCTTTCATGGGGAATAAAAGGGAAGAACGCCTTCCGCAGATGGAACACTTAGCACAAGCTGGGTGCTGTGCTCAGTACTCTATGCCTCATCCCAGCGAAGTCTCCGAAACCCCTAGCACCTTCCCCCTTTTTACTGTTCCAAAACTGGGGGCTCAGAGAGATGATGGGCTTACTCAAGGTCACACAGCTGGTAAATCACGAGGCAAAATACTAACAGCCATCTGGATTTAGCATCCGTGCTCGAACCACCACACGGTGAAAGGATGAATGAGTGAATGAGGATGAAGGATTTCCTGTCAGATCTCAGGCCCCGAATGTCACTTGACTGGCTCCACAGATGTTGGGAGAGGGGACCAGGCCAGGGGAAGAAGTTTTGGGGAGATTGGGACAGGACCATGAAGCTGGCGGGTTAGTCAAGAGGTACCAATGACCGGCCGAGAGACCCCAGGAACATGGAGAGGGGGGTCATGGGCTCTGTGCTGGGAGGCACCTCTGGCAGGAATCTGGGCAGCCTTCCAAGTTCCTCTACTGACCCCGGACAGACCAGGGCACTCACAGCTTCCTGGTGAGAGCTTCCTCCCGTCCCCCCAGGGACCACCGTCCTGGTTGCAGTTCTGCATTACGGGATGCCAGCTGGCGGACAGAGGCCCCAGCTCGGGCTCATCGGAGCTCTCAGACTCAGCCCACCCCGCCCTGCTTCTGCGAGGGAGGCGCGAGGAAGGGGTGCGTCTCCTCTCAGCATCCAGGAGCACCTGGGAGAGTCAGCAATGACTCAGAGTGCGGGGGTGGCCCCAGTGCAGTGACTGTGGTGGGGGAGCCCTGTGCCCCCCAACTGGGTCCCTGAGGCTCCTCGCTGTAGGGCTCTGCAACAAGGGCCTTATCTCCCTGCTGGCTTGGAGTGGAGATAAGGAGCGCCCTGATCTCCTCCTTTCCGGAAGCCTCAGCCCTTCTGACGGCAGCACCCCCGATCTGGGGCAGGGGGAGGAGAGGGCCAGTGTACAGTAGGGTGGTCTTTCTCAGGGAGGGAGACAGCTGGGGGCTTGGGTTACTGGGATGCAGTCATCCATCTGCTCAACCGAATTTGCAGAGTGGCTGTAGTGTGGCACCGTTAAGGGCACCGAGTCTGAAGCCAGCCTGCCTGGGTTCAAATCCCAGCTCATGCATTGACTAGCTGTGTCACTTTGGACAAGTCACTTGACATCCCTGAGCCTCGGTTTCCCCACCTGTGAAATGGGCATAATGATGGAACAGCCACTGGCGGTTTGAAGTGAGCTCTCAATCTTGAGGACTCAGCGTCTGCTACCGCCGAGGGCCAATGTCCCCAGCCTTCATGGAGCTCACAGACAGGCAGAGGGTAGACAAACCGTAATAATATGAGGATCTGAATAAATAAACAAGATCGTCAGGACTGCAGATAAGTCCTGGGAGGGAACTAATCAGAGATTTATGATGGAGAGTTGGGGAGGGTGTCAGGGAAAACTGCGCCAAGGAGGGGACATTTGAGCAGATTCTGGAAGAATGAACAGGCAGAAGCTGTGTGACGATCTGGGGAAAGCGTATTCTAGGCAGGGCTAAAAGTAAGTACAAAGGTCCGGAGGCAGGAACGAACTTGGCATCCTTTTTGGGAACAGAGGGAGGTGAGTATGCCGGGTGATTCTCTGTGGTAGGGACTGTCCTATGCTTTATAGGATATTTAGCAGCACCCCTGGCCTCTACCCAGTAGATACCAGTAGCATACCCCTTCCACTATGACAAACAAAAATGTCTCCAGACATTGCCAGTTGTCCCGGAGGGGACAAAGTTGCGACAGTTGAGAACCGCAGGGTTAGAGAGAGCGTGGTGGAAGGTAAGGCGGGCAGGGTGCAGGGCCCGTCGGGCCTCGTAAGCCGCTTAGGGGAGGTGAATGATGGGAGGGTCAAAGAGGGGCTGGGGTGGGTCAAAGAGGGGCTGGGGTGGCTGGTGAGAGGGGCCCTGGCCCCTGTCCGAGCCCTCCTGGGGTGTGGGCCTGAACAGCTCTGCGCCAGCCTCCTCCGCGACTGCAGCCTCTGAGCCCAGATCACCCTCCTGCCCTCCCCTCCTTCCCTCACCTCCCCAGCGCTCCCGGGGCACGGCCGGGGACCACCCCCTGGGCTCCCCCACCTCCGAGCCTTTGCTCCTTCGGGTGGACCCCGCCCCTGGGATGAACATGTAACAGGTCCTTGAAACATTGCCTTGGAGATGGGCGATCTCAGACCCACCGACCAGGACAAAAATCAGACTTAAGGGGTCCCCCCTCAGTCCCTCACTCAGGGGAGCATGAGTGGGAAGCCCCTTAGACTGAAGCCTCCTTCTCTGCCAGGGGTGCCCCATCTCCGTTCTCCAGCTCCCTCTTTCTCAAACTCATCCTCTCTCTGGGCATTTCTTGGGCCTCTAGTTGTCTCCCCACCACTGCATCATCCTGTCTGTCTGTCTGCCTTCCACCTCCCCTGGTCCCTCTGTCTCTTTGTCTCTGTCCTTTGCTGTCTCTCTCCTCTCTGCCTTGGTCTCTTTCCCTCCCTCAGTTCCCCCCCTAACCTCCCTGCTAAGTCTGTCTCTCTTCCCCAGTGGCTCCAGTGGTTTGGACAAGCTCAGCTCTCTTCTGCCCAGATGACCTCACTTCCCCACCACATGCACATGCCCACATGCACTCACTGTCACACACAAGTATGTACACACACGCGCACACACGCACACTGGTCTCTGGCTGGGTTTCACTCCGAGTCTAAAGGGCGTAGCCCCAGCCCTGGTCCCCTGGCCAGGTGCCCGGGACGGGGAAGGCCAGGCTGGGCTTGCAGAAGGCACACTGCTGGGAGTAGACCTGGCCACACCTCCCTGGTCTCTGCACAGCAGCCCCTCGAACCATCCCATTAACCTCCCTCCATTTCCCCCCAGGCTGAGGGGGCTCACTCATGGGTCAGGGCCCCCTTCCCCACCTCCCCAGGATGGAGGGGCCATCTCCA